AGGTGAGACTCAAGTCCAAACACAATGCTTAGTTTCATAGTTTCCTCCTTGGTCTGCCTGAAGCCCCATCTGCTTGTGGAGAGGATGATACACAGCATGAACAGTGCAAGAGGGGACAATTAGACAAAAGTTTTGATCCTGATGTCCTCATAGCTGTGGGCTTTGGTCAAGCCATTTCCTCCCTGAGTTTCAGTCTCATCTTCTGTACTTGGTCCCAGGCTACCTCCTGGAGCTTGTGAACATCCAATACCATAAAGTGCAGAGATCTTGGCACATCCGGGGAAGTGTGCAGGTGAAAGATTAAGTCTAGCGCATCCATTCATCTTCTAGCCAGCAGGGGTGATGGGAAGTCAACTGCACCATGCTCTGAGCTAGGTTCTAGAATAAATTCTACATAATGTACACATATATACATACACACATATATACTTACATATACACACACACACGTAAATGCATATGTACATACACACGTACATAAAACCCTCTGTGTGTGTATGTACATATACGTATTCCACCCCAAGAGTTCCAAAAAGAAAGTAGCAGGGGAAATACAGTTTTCACTTAGAAGAAGCAGACTCGGGTCTCTGCAAAGCTGCATTTTACCACCAGAGAGCTATGGTGCAATCCATGCTGTTAAATCAGTGTTTCTGGATGATGAAGACGAATTCCTCCTCCTCTTCTTTCTACTTCTTTTCTTGGTCCTCTTACCCTATTCTGCTCACTAACACCTCCATAGGGTCAGAGAAAAGATCAATTCAAATTAGTCAATTTGCTTCTTTTTAGTCACTGTTGGGAACAAAGTGGGAGGATGAGGAGGTGGCTACTAATGGATTTTTGAAAAGCAGAGTTGAGGCATTATCTGAGCATGAGGAGCAGGCTGGCTATTTCCTCCTCACCCATGACAGAGAAATCAATGTTGGCCCTTATTTATAGAGTGCAGTTCTGTACCTGAGTATCTCTCTTTCAGCTCCCAACTCCTACTCATCCTTCAATGCCCAAATCATACGGCTCCTTCTGGAGCCTTCTCTGACTGTCCTGGGCAGAGAACACATTCCATCCTCTGCATCCACATCGCTTTGTTCATGTCTGGGTTCTTATCTGCCATGTGCTCCTCTGACTGTTGGCTGCCTTTGTCTTTGTCACGTGATTAGAAACTCCTTGAGGTGCTGACCATGTCTCATTTGTCCTGATGTTCACGGCCCAACACGGGGTGTGGCCCTTGGTAGATACTCAGACATTACCTGTTTAATGAGTGTGTAATTTCTAAAAGAACACTCTGATTTTAGTATTCAGTGGAGAGACGGTTAAGGAACGGATATTACTCATTCATTTTCTGATGGGAAGAAAATGTAACAAGACCTAAATCCCACCATTTCTACTAGAATAGTTAAGTTTTTGCCAGCCAATTCTATGAGAAACAAAACTTATGTTCTAACCATTTCACAGCTATTTGTGTACTAAGACTGGGCATGAAATGATGATGTTTAACATTCATTACAGCACCAATGGTGGGAAGGGTCATTGTCTGCATCTACAACCCATGGCCATCTCATTCAGTTGATCTGTGTGAACTTATTTTACAGCCAAGGAAAATATAATCTTATAATAATATATGAAAGAGGTATAAAATAAGCATTTTAACGAACTGGGGCTTCAAATAAAATTAGGCTCTTTGCCTCTTAAAACTCCAATCTTATCAACTCATCCATTTTTGCTTAAAACTGTGAGCAGCTCTGAGCTGTCCTCAAAATAGACTCAAACCACTTGGCTTGGTCTGGAAAATCCCTCATTCATACCCTCGCTTCCCTCCCTAAGTGAGTCCCTTGGTCTCTCAGACTCACCTCTCCAAATTCCACAGTCTCAGGAAGGAGGTGAAGGTGCACAGTGTTCCCCAAGGCACAGCTCTTGCCTATGTATCTCCATCTTCCGGCCTGGAAATTCCTAACACCCTTCCCTGAAGCATCTTGACCTCTTTGCTTGATACCTGCCTGGCTATATCTCATCTCCAGGACTGAGTGCAGACAACCTACTCCTAGGTAGCTTCCGTGGTTGCACCCCTCTATCTGGGTCAGGGGACTCCTTCTCTGAGCTCCCCAAACACCCATTCCTACTGCAACACTGATGAAAGTGTGTTGTCTAGCCATTAGTGTGTCTCCTCGTAAAACCAGAAGCAACTCAACCGCAGGGGCTGACCTAGTCCTCATTTATCCCAGTGCCTGGTGCAGCATTCACATAGAAGAGGTACTCATATATCTGCTGAATGAATGATCCTCCTTCTACCCTGAAGGCAAGAAGCAGACTCAGGTCTCTGTAAAGCTAGACCAATTGTCTAGATAGACCAATTGTCTACCATGTAAGTAAATTCCAAGAGAACAGGTAAAAGTGACCTGTGGGAGGTTCCAGTGGAAAATTCCTACTCTAACAAATTGGCTCTATGATGATCAAATTAAGACACTGTTTACTTCAACTTACTTTATCGATGCAACTTCCTCAAGAAGCCTTGATAGCACCAGGCCATGGAGTCCTAAGAAAGGGACCGAGACTCATCAATCTGCAGTCTCAGTAGCTAGGGCCCAGTAAAGATTTTCGAATGAATGACTAACACAACATTGGGTAAGAGCTCTGGGGAAGAGAAAGGAGGGGTAGAAAAATCTCCAGAAAAGCCAGTCAGAACATAAACGCCCAAGTCCTTTATGCCTTCGCTTCATTCCACAGGCTCCTCATTCCTTCTGCTCCAATCTTACTGGTCACTCAAGGTTGGGTAAAGCCCAAGCACATTCCCTGCTCAGAGCTTTAGTTTTGGCTCTTCTTTCTAGCCTTGCTCCCTCACTTTCTCCAGATCCTGCCCAAATAATGCCTTATCCAGAGGTGTTCCCTGGCACTGTATATAAAACACTAATGCCCATTTCCCTTAACTCTCTAGTTCTCTGACTTAGCTTTATTTTTTTCTGCTTTACTTTTTTCATAGCACCTAATACTGCCTGATGTAATACATGCATGTGTGTTACTTGTTGATGATCCCTTGACTCTACTTAAATGCAAGCTCCTTGAGAACAAGAACTTGGTTTTGTTCTGTCCTGTATCCCTAGCATCAAGATCAGTGCGAGCTACCCACTGCATGGTTCATGTTCCATGAACATCTAGTGACTGAATGAATGACGGGATGAATGACTGCCTTAGAAAAGGTAACAGGCAAGGAAGAAAGCCCTGAATGAGCATATGCTTGGACCCTGACTGTCTTGCTGAGTGCCAGGCCAGGACACCTGCCCCAAATCAATTGACCCTTACTCTTGGTCTTGGATGTAAGCTAGTCTGAAGGGAAAAAGACACCAGCAGGGAGTTAGTTTTCAGCTAATACCTCATGGGACAAAGGGGTAGGAAAGTAGTGGTTCTAACTTTGGGTATGGCAGAGAAAACCTTCCAACGGCCAGGTTGGAGAGGCAATCTGGCTAAAGTCCAGGTGAGAAAAGGCTTCTATGGATGAAGAACTCTGAAATAAAAAAGGCTGTTAACAGTTTCTCTCCTTTTTAAATTGTTGGGACTTAACAGTATTTGTGGACAAGGCCTGTCCTAGATTTTAGGCACAAGGCTCAAATGAAATCCAGATATGGGGTCAAAGCTATATTTAAGTAGCTTTTAAAAAGGGTGGGTAGGGAAAGGAGCTGGTATTTGCTGAGGTCTCCTATAAGCAAGAAACCATGCTCATGCATGATCTCACTTAATCCTCAACACCAGCTTATAACATGGAGTGTACTATCCCTACCTTACAGGTGGGGAAACAGCAGCTTGGGGATTTAAAATGGTGATTTAAGCAAAATCACTGAGCCAACACATAGCACAGCTGAGATCTGAAGTCAGGTGTGTCTAAGTTGCAAAGCTTTTCTCCTTCCTCTGAATTATGCTACAGCTCAGAAACTACTCTAGAGAAAGAAACCACAAGAGGAAGAAAGGAAGCAGGCATGAGATAAACATGTTCCCCAAGAATAAGAGTCTGGCATAAGAAACAAGTCTGGGTTAAGACAATCCTGGGAATGCAAAACGAGCTTTAGATATCACCTGGTCTTACCTTCTGTCCTATGTTTAGCATTATGAAACGCTTTTGCTTCTAGTTTTCAAGAAAAGTCAAGGTATCTAGCTGAAAAAGAAGAGTTTCAAGACAGAGGATAGCAGAAGATAACACCAAAAACTAGTGCAAGAGTGAAGATGTGTGGCCATCTCAGTGTGTTGGCTTTTTTTTTTTTTTTTTTTGATGATTCCTAACTGCGAGTCCTTACGCTGGGCCTGCTTAAGGGAGATGTGTTAATATACCACAGTCCAGGCAGCTGAACCCTTGACCCAACTTTAGTCATCTGGGAGGGATGTCAGCCTACATCAGGTGCAGTTCCAGTGAAGACATTCTAGTATATATGGCCACATTCCTCGCACATAAGAAGGAAAGGATCCATAAGTGATTGGGAGGAGGGGAAAGAGAAGAGCAATAAGCAGACAGAGCCATTGTATTGGCGGTCAGGGAAGTGGGTAATGAGAGTGGTTAGCTGCAGCCTGTCTGCTGCAAGTGCTCTTGGATGAAACTTCATGAACTGAATTTGTTTCTAAAGATGTTGTAGCAGGTGGGATGCAAGTCAGTTCTCTGACATGGGATTTAAATTCCATCTCAGATTGGCTACCAAAGGACCTCTCCTCCTACTGTCTAAATCTAGCTGGGCAGAAAGGAACACTAAATGGTTCTGCAAGGAAAAAGGAACCTAGATCTACAGCTCGAACCTGTTCTTCCCCTGCATGTAATTCTCAGCTACCTTCTTTCATTCCTTAACCCCCAAAGACTCAAGATAGCACAGATCCCATTCAGAATACAGCTATAGAACCCAGAGCCTTGAATGCCTTCCTTGATTCTTTCATGTCTTTCATAATATAAGCATGCATATGACATATTTCCTGCAGTACAATGACAGTTATCACTGTGCTACACGCTATAACCAAAGTCAATTGTTTCTTACCTGGAAATATCTCCTGTGATTCAGTTTCACCAATCCAGGCTGATGGGATGAATCAGCTTAGCTGCTGTCTGGCCAAAGGAAGTTGGGCTTCCCAAATCAGGACGGTGGCCTCCTAAAGTCCTGTAGCTTTTCTGTCCTTAAGATGGTGGTACCCTGCTAAAAAGGGAATGCAAGTCATGTTACTGTGAGAAGCAATTTCCTATTCTCTACTAGTCACAATATATTTTTTAAGGAGAGCAGAGAGTCACAAGATCATAGATTATCAGGCCTGAAGGACATCTAAGAGATAATCTTGTCTAATTCTTTCATTTTATAATTAGGAGGTTGAGGCTCAGAGAAGAAGCAGTCTCACTCGGGGACTCAGCAGTTTGGGAGTCAAATACACATTGGAACATATCTCTGACTCTCTGGCCTTTGACTTATTTTTTAAATGCAGCCACATGGTCAGGTTGACTTCTCCAACACGTGGTCACTGACCTTGAATGGGAAGTCATTTTATTTTTTGTTGAACAGTTTTGAAAAAGGGAGGTGGCACTTTTTCCAGATTGCTGTTTTTGTAGTTTCACCCCTGGGAGCTAAATTAGTAAAACAGCCCACCTCAGGCATGTGATTGGGATGGTTCTCCCTGTTTCTCACTAGAAAAATATTGTTATAAAATGCCATGACCCATGAACACAGTGACACAGTGGGGAGTGAGTGCTGCTCTTCAGTGAGAAGCATATGTGGCCCCAGGTCTCTCTCTCTCTCCCTCTCTCTCCGTGTTTCAGAGAAACACAGCAACAGACATGGACTCTTTTTCCATGAGTATTATTTATTGCAGGGTTTTCTTCCTGGCTCCTGTGCATTTGAATGGCCACTCCTTTGTGCAGAAAACCAAATCACAGAAAACAGAGGGGAGCTCTCACGTATTAAGCAAATATCTGTCAGGCATACCATGCGAATTGTATAGATATACTTTCTTATTAATTTGTCCTTAAAAAGTCCCGGTGAGATACCGTTAATTCCATTTCTCCAAAGAGGTAGGAAACCAGTCTTTCAAGAGCTAGGATGATCTGCAGAGTCAAAAAGAGATACAATGCAGAACCAGAAATAAACCCATGCCTCCTAAATCTACTTTTTGCTATCTAAACTGAACTATAGTTTGTTTCTAGGGCAAAACACTAGAGTTGCCTGCTTTTTCCAGTGTTTCAGCTTAAATGTATGAGACAGTTCTTTGGAAGCTGAAATTGTTATAAGGGCATGAAAAATTACTCTTATTAGATTCTCTTTCTGATGGGGGTGGGGGATGGTGGTGGGGCTTGTAGGGGAAGGAGGGGGTCTACAATCCAAGACTTCCTGACAGGCTCCCAGGCCCCTAGAGGCTGGGCTGGTTCTGGCTCTCAGCAGCAGGGCCAGCAGCAAGAGGGCACCTCAGGAAGTCATAATTATCAATGCTCCCTGGCTCAAGGCTTTGTTCCTGTTCTCTGACAACAAGGGACATGCCAGGAGAGATGGGGTGGGGGTGGAGAAAGAGGAAGAAAAAACAGGAAGTGAAGTGGGGGAGGAGGGAAGGAAATGATAGAGAAAACATAGCAACTCTGAAATGTCCTTGGCTTGATGAGAAAGTGATTTCTGAGTGGACTTTAGTGGAACTGGGCCCTGCATTTTGGGAAACCGGATTGTGATGGTAATGGGGTGGGGCAAAGACGTTTATTTCCTCCAAACTCAGGGTTGGGGTCCACAAATTCCATTTCCCACCACTGAGCACAGCCTGGTACAGGGCTGTTTTCCACACACTCAGGTGTAGACACGGAAGGTGGTGAATTTCCAAAGAAGGAATCTGGGGTAAGGCCATGTTCCTCACCTCCTGACTGTGGCTGAGGGGACAGGCGTGTCGCAAAAGGATCTGGAAAGTGATCAGGTATCAGGGAGAGCTATCCCATCCTCACTGCTTTTTTTTTTCTTTTTTCTCAAATGTCCTCAAAATTGAACCCATTTTCAGAGTGCACGACTGGGACGGATTCACTCAGCTGGGTTCAGCACGAATGCTGCTATCTTCCACCACAAAACCAAGTGGGTCAGTCAGGCGGAACACTGGGTTTCCTCCTGATCATGATTCTAAAGCACCTCCTGCTTGTTTTCCTATCCATTTTGTTCACTCCATTTACTTACTGAGGCTTACAGAAATTCCCCAACTCCAAATGCACATCATAAAGAATGACAGTCACCTGGTAACTTGAACAACCACACACCACATACAGAGATGACCCTAATAATAACTTAATAATCAAATACCACTTCTACTCATGCTAATACTATTCATAGACCCCCTGATGGGCACCAGGGGGTAGAGAATGCAGAGCACCCTTATGGGTAAGCCATCACATACCGGTCCCCCCTACTCCAGCAGGTCCCCCATACTGGCTATGCATCTTAGAAGCTAACAAAAAAAACAGACACAATCCAGAGTAGCGATCAGGAAACTTGTATGGTTAAAAATCTTCTCAGAGGGTTTTAGTGTCACCAACCTGGCTCCGATCCATGGACTAGCATTCAGTAAACATGGACCCCAACTCAGCTCTCACCCTCACCCCACCTTCTCCCAGCTTACAGATGCAACCACAAAGGCTCTCCAAGGGAAGGGGCTCACTCCAGGTCCCACAGCTAATGGCCTCCCAGGGATCTGCCCCACTCCTCCAAACCAAACATAGAACAAAAAGTCAGTATATGTTTGAGAGGACTCCACGCCTTCTGAAGCAATTGCTGATGGTTTACTGTGTGGGTCACCCCAGGGCCAAGTGTCCATTAGGGAGAACAGAGAGCAAGGAGGGGGGAAAGAAACGGAAAACTCTCATCTCTCGTCTCCACAGACTGCACAACCTCACATATCACCAGCAACACCAGCAGGCATTTGCTGCCATCCAAGCAGCCACGCTCGGCCCAGGCTACTTCCACAGTGCTATGCCCTGTGCCTGGCCTGGTGGGGATGCACACAACCCAACACAACCAGGAGTTTGCCCTTCTGTAGCACCTGGCAGCCAGGATAACGCTTTCCCATATCTTTTCATCTTTGCTCATTTTGAGAGAGGTACAAAGCTGAGGGGTAATCACCCCAGTTTATAAATGGAGAAGCCGAAATCAGAGACAGGAGGTGCCTTATCCAGAGTCTCAAAACAGACCTAGGGCCTGAAATAGGCATCTCCTGTCTTCCAGTCTAGTGACCTTTCCCTGTGTCCTGTCCCTCCCCACCCCATTCAGGGGAGGGTTAGAGAACAGCATCAAATGGCTGCTGCCTTCCCCTTCTAAATGGTTCTGGAAATTGAAAAGCAAGGCAGAGCAACAGAAGGGAAGGCAATATCCACTATAAGAGGCCAAAAGGGCCCCAAAGACCACATCCTCACCCTCCGGGGTGGGCAGTCAAGAGACCCAAAACCCACGGTGGGGCATGCTTGTGTCCACAGTTTACCAGCAGCAGAGCTTAGATTGAGTCCCTCAATGCTAGCAGCACACACCAACACTGAAAAACCAGAAGGGGTAGGTGTTTAGATAATAAAAATAGCTAACACTGATCAAGTACTTACTGCATATTGGGCTTTGTTTAGCACTGTACATATAGTGACTCCCTGAAACCTCATGGCAACCAAACTACATAGGCATTATTATTGTCCCCTTTTACAGATGAGGTAACTGAGGCACAGAATGATTGAGGCACAGAATGATTAAGTCACTTGTCCATGGGATTTAGCTTTTGAGTGAGAGAGTCAAGGCGTGAATGTAGGCAGTCTGGCTCAAATTCTGCAAAGCCAAATAGTGGAAAGAAAGAGAATAAAGCAAATACACTAGGAACAGACGACACCTTCCTTCAAAAGGAGAGAAGGAAGATAGGAGACTCTCCAGGCAGGAAAGACTGAGAGATGCTGTGCAGGCAGAATTAGGAATTTATTCCCTAGTCCCCTCTGGGTAGCAGCTGACCAATGTCAGCCAACACCAGTAAATGACATCCTAGTCTTCGTGTTTATACAGCAAGACTGTGGGAGGAGCGAGTGGCTGGGCCAGGGAGGGGACAAAGGGAGGGCCTGAGATGGGAGAGTCACCAGGATGGGTGGAGGGGATGATGCTTTGGGAATCCAATTCCTATGTCCCACAGGGATGGAGCAGCTGCGCAGGCTGGCAGGCAATTCCCTTTGTGCATCCCCAGCACCAGCAGGGCACACATGCCCGGGACACCAGGCTTCGGGGATGCCACTGGGTTTCAGCCTCATGAAGCCTGGGAAGCCAGGAAAGACAGGGGTCATCTCTCACCATTTCCCCCGTGAAGAGACTAAAGCCAAAAACAGTCACAGCCCTAGAACAATAACAACAACAATAACAACAGTCACCATTTGTTGGCAGGTTATGATTTGTCAGTAAATATGCTAGATGCTGTATATAGATTATGTAAAAACAATAACAACTCTGAGAGGTCCATATGATTATTCTTAATTTAAGAAAAGCTAAGTAATTCTGCAAAGGTCAAAGCTAGCAGGCTATGAGAAAGGATCTGAACCACCATTTATCGCACTGTGAGGCCCCCGATCTCACCTCAAAGCCATGTGTGCTGTGAAATGGTTAAGTGACTTGCCCACAACCGTGTAGCCGTGCTAACCCACAGCCAGCTTCTGGGCTGTCAGAGCACATGGGCACAGGCTTTTACGTCCACATACTCCCTACACTACACATCCACACTAAGAGCTGCTAACCACTTTTATATACACAGACAAACAACTGGGGTGACTTAATGGTTTATCATCCAAACCAGGATACCTCTGAGAGTGAAAGGGGGCCCTTTTAATAATATTGCTGGACAGCAGGCAGACACCAGGACTGTCCTAGGCATGTAAGAACAAGCGGTCACCTGAATACAATCCACACTCCCACAGGCTGGTTACTTTTATATCCAGTTGTGTTGGTAGAGAACTCTCCTGGACAATGCCTTGCTTCCCAATCCACACAAATACTTCTTTGCAATAATTCACTCTCCCTATATTCACCTGCCTGTCTTCAGAATTCATGGAATTCGTTGGCCTTATAGAGAAACAGACTGATGCCACTTGGTTATAAAGCAGACATGCTATGGTTTGAGAAGGGAGGGTGTCACTAACTGAAACAGTGTATTTTAAGAGACTGGTGGGTTCCTTGTGCCCTGGCAGCCCGGAACCCGAATACCCAGCTGTTCTGATAAGCAGCCAGTCAAGGCCCTTAAGCGCGAGGGCTCTGTGGCTTTCCCATTGAGGACTGCCTGAGGCAAGCAGATGGGAAACCAGCACAGGAGTACAGCTGCCACCAGTACTGGGCTTGCTGGAGAAACTGCAGTCTACTGGGAGGACACAGACCTGGGGTCCTCGGGGGACAGGCACATCTCTCAGACAAGGCCTGGCCTTTTTCTGCTGCCGATCATGCCTGGAGGTGAGCAGCTCTAGCCTGGTGAGAGATCTTCCCCTTTCCCCCCGACTGGGCCTCGTGGGGAAGGAGGTGGCATTTAAAGCTCGTTTTTGTTTTGCTCTTTCCCTAAGAATCTGCCTTCTTAGGAATCTCTGACCAAGAGGAAGGAAGAATCTGCTGTTCTTTTGAAGCCAGGAAATCAGTCTTAACAAACTCTCCCATCAATACAGGTAAAGTGCAGTGCTAATGAGAATGCAGAGGGAATTTGTCTGTTCTCTGAAGAGACCGTTTCTGGCATATGTTTAATCGTGGAGCATCACAGGGCCTCAAGGCCATGGATTTTCAGAGGCCCCAGAGAAGCCTGCCAGCTCCCAGCAGCCCTAGAAACTGGCAGGGCTCTTGGAGGCACTGACGGGCAGGGCTCTGGGCCCTCATCCTGTGATAACAGGAATAGAGATACTTTTTACCTGTTTTGTGTAGGGGCTTCTACAAGTGATGATTTTTTTTGGTAAACAGATCCTTTTGCCAAATTAGGCCATGTGCACAGGTTGTGGGAGTTAGGGAATGCACTTACCTTCTTATGGGTTACCGTTCACCACACAACAGCTGTGATTATGACTATATGTTATAATGTTATTCTGGGGGACACTTAAGACCTAGAGAAGGAAAGTATCTGTCTGATGCCACCCAGCACACAGCCTTCCCACGGTGGGAAGCCCAGCATGGAAGGAGCCCAAAGACCAGATAGTGACTAACTGGGAGTTAGTTACTATCTGTGGCTCAGGCAGTCCTAGACAGTCAGAGGCCAACAAACCAGTGATGATGGTGATGGGGCAGGAGATATCAACCTTATTCACTGAGCACTGACTGTGTGCCAGGCATGGTCTAGACATCACCTGGATGTTCCATCCAGCCCTCGCCCCACTCTTGCTGGAAAAGGCAGTGCTCCTATTATCCACATCTTACAGATAAGGAGCTGGACAGTCACTCAGAGAGGCTGGGTAACGAACTCTGGGTTAACGGCAAGTAGATAACAAAGTGCGCATTTGGACTCACATCTAAGGGACCCCCCCCGGGCCCTGACCACTGTACTCTACAGCAAAGGAGAGGACCCAGGCCACCCTCAGAGGTGGCGTATATGAGTCATAGGGTGGGGAAGGCAGTTGCAAGTGGCAAATGGTATCAGAACCAGAACAAGAGCCCAGATCTCTACTCCTGGGCTCACATTAGTTCCATTTCCCATGGCTGTGGTTTAATATCTCTCTGTGGTCTTTGTAACACCTGAATAGCCATTAAGGTGAGTGTACCCATGTTCAGGGCAGGAGAACATCTGCCAAACTGGCTGCAGCATTCAGGAAACTCCACCAAGCTTTTCGATGAGTTCACATCGCACTGCCTGAACACAGCCGCTGGGGCGGGTTCCTTCTCCTTGAGACTGCATTTCAGAATGTCAGTTACACTAGGTCTCCTCTGAGTGAGGAAGTG